GTGTGTGTGGGGGGGGGGGTATAAATAAAGCTCTGCTTATGTGACACTCGACAGCGTACTCGAAAGAAGATGCCAGCTGTGCCTTTCAGTCTGCGGAGCAGATGGATCACCTGCGATATCTATTGAGCATGCTCAGGACATTATGCAACGCTCTCCCATCCAACGCCAGGCTGGAAAATGGGAAAGAGGGTGTATTAGATTAGATTAGATTGTAACTGATTATCACTTCTTCCCTTTCCTATCTCCCTGCCTACATTACTTTTTCTTTACCATTAAACTCCTCTCTTCCTTCCCTCTGCGTCTCTCTGCCTTACATCCTTCGTCCCTCTTTTCTCGCTACCCTCCTGTTGGAAGTCCCGTCTTCTCTGTATCACATGGCTGTATCGCTCACAACAAGCTCCGACACGGCGCTGCAGAGATGAATCACAACTGAGCTACCGTTGGATGAAAATAGTTTATCATAAAAGTAAAAATCAACATTACCTCTTGCATTCAGTGTAATATTTCACAGTATTATTTATTTATTTTAGTATTTTTTGGGGGCAAATTTAACGTAGGAAAAAAAGGGGAGAGAGGGGGAACTGAAGGTTTGTGGTTCACGTTTAAATAAAAGAATAAAGACTGAAGGTAAATATTAAGATCAAGCTCCATGTTTGATATTAATATTTACTGCCTAGAATGGAATGCTTGGTGGACATAGCAACTGTAACTATGAGGGAAAGGGGGGGCGGGGCAACAGGAAAATTCCGGAACGTTGAACATCAAAGCTACACTGTATTCCCTTTGTGATGTCATCAGCAGGTCTATATATACTTCACGAGGTTTTAAGATAAAGTCATTGCATTTTACACTTCCACCATCGCAAGGTAGAAGATTCATAGATTGGTAAAACATTTGTAAAACATTCGGAGATTCGTAGAGGATTCAGATTAGTCAGACAGCTAATCACGATGGCAGTTCTGACCCCACACAACTGGACAAGGGGTCTCTCTTCCATTTATTTCAGCTGGGCAGAAAAGGTGGCCCTTGTCAACCAGGTTAAGGAGCTGAAACGTCAGCTTCAGCAGGAAAGGGATGTCAGTGTCGTTCAGAAGCAGAGGCTCAGCACGCAGTTGGACAAACAGACGGAGCGGGCGGCGTTGTTGAAGAAGGAGCGGAGACAAATTCTGCAAGAGCTCGAGTTGATGCACGCTGCATTCGATGGGCTCCAACAGGCGAACTGTGATATGGTGCAGGAGCAAGAAGAGGTCCAGCAGAGTCATGACCAAGACCTCAAGGAGCAGGAGAGCAGACTCTTGCAAGAGGCCTCTAAGAGGGAGAAATCTCTGCGCGTGGAGTTGGAAGACCTCAAAGTCCAACTACATGAACAGACCTCAAGAAACTCTGAGCTTGTTGCTAAGTTCAAGCATGAGGAAGAGCTGGTGGACCAGGTGTGCCAGCAGGTGGAGGAGGAGTCCTGTGCTGTTTCACACGACCCAGGACTTGTGGGAGAGGGGTACTCTGCTATTTCACCGGACCCAGAATGTGTGGAGGAGAAATCCTCTGCTGTTTCACAGGATCCAGAACTAGTGGAGGAGCCCTCTGCTGGTTTACAGGACCTGGGACTTGTGGAAGAGGAGAGCCCTGCTATTTCCCAGGATCCAGACCTTGAGGAAGAGGCTAAAGTCTGCGAGGAGAATGCTGCAGGGGTGAGGAAGAAGCATTCTGTCTGGAAAAGATTTCGCCACTTCCTCGGTTTGAGGAAGAAAAAGAAAGGCAGGCAACAGGACTCTTCATCCAACGGAGCTTAACTGGTGTCTGGATCTCGGATGGGGGGGCGGGTTCGGGTTTAAAAACAGTAGCTTGCAGGTTGCAGCTTGCATCTGTGTGCATGTGTAGATGAGCAGCACGTGTATTCATTTAGCAGAGGACAACACGGTGGCTCAGTGGTTAGCACTGCAGCCTCACAGTCAGACCTGAACCCAACAGCTCGGTTCTGGTTCTGTCTGTGTGGAGTCTGCATGTTCCTCCCCGTGTCTGTGTGGGTTTCCTCCGAGTGCTTCGGTTTCCTCCCACACTCCAAAGACATGAAACTTAGGTAAATCGGACACACAAACTTTGCCGAAATTAGAAAATGAATATATATAAATATACAATAATAGGGGTGTGACGAGATCTTGTGCCACGAGCTCTCGCGAGATTAAACTCGACGATATTTCTCGTCACGTTAAAAATCTGTCTCGCGAGATTTGTGAGCTATCCAGACTTCTATTTGTGACCTGTGGGGG